ATGACGTCCAGCTCTTATCGACAGTTCAATCATAGTCAGGTTGAACGCCGAACTTCGACACACTCAGACCGACGATACGTAGACTGTGTTTCTCGAAGGTGACGAATAATTGCTCACCACTATTTATGTAGTTCCTCACTGGCTTCCTCCTCCCTCCAAATGAACTTCGGATCCGAACTGGAGAAGGCCTCGGAGCCCGGGAGTGGCGGGAATGTTTTCCTTCGGTAGCTTCAATGGTAATATCAAAAGGAGGGAACAAGCTTCCGCGGATGGCTCTCAATCAGGGTACGTAGCGGCTGCTGCAGCGCTTCCGATTCGACAGATGAGATATGTCAAGCATTGGGACGGAAATCCATTGGGAAAGCTATTTGGGACGTTTCTCATTTACCTTGGTTGGTTCGACGCGAAACTCACATCGGCGGACTCTTTGCAGAGCAGCTTCACGTGCATATTCCTCCCGAGCTCTGGTACGACCATCGAATACTCGAAGTATCGAGGACTACACGCGCGCTAGAAGATGGCTCGATTTTGTATTGAGGGTAAAATATGAGCGACGCATCAATCGGGACCGGTGAGGAGAGCAGCCCCTGGGGCTGGGGGAAGGAGGAACGAGCTGCAACCCATCACGGAGTCGCTGGCCATAGAAACAAACATCAGGTGTAAACTTCCACACCGGAAAGTGAGCAGAATTACCGAGGATCAAACGGATAACGAGATCAGAGCTATGTAGCTGACATTCGCGAATCTATCGCAAAACCTATAGATCTGTATCCGATCGTCTAGGGAAGATTCTTTCAAGGCGGAAGCTGTGCGGTTGACGAAAATATATTCACCTGACTCGTGGGAGCTCTGCTCGCTGTTGTCTGATATTCCAACACAAACAACTCGTTCCCATTTGGAGAAGCTGCGTGAAACGGAAGCCGAGTCGCTGTCTGTCGAAACAAACATCCGATCCTGCGCGAAGAGCTCCACCACCCATCTGCGTCTCGTTTTCTCTATTCTTGTTCCGCCTTGGGTTACAGTCTCGAAATCGTCGTGGCCGCCGTCGTGGACTTGACAAACTTTGAAAGGGGTGCTTACGAGGCGAGGTCAGAACGTGCGTCTCTCGACACTTTGTGAGTTTTCTCTTTGAGCGCCGTGAAGCTGAACGCCATCTCGAGAGTTTCTGGAGGAAATATTTTCGCACGGGCTCCTTTCTCCTTTGAAAACTTCCACTCCTCGGAACCTCTTTCCAGTTCTCTATGGAACACAAATGGGATTCGAGGGTGACGGAGCCCCTTCTGCGAACTCTTACCCCGACTCAGGAAGCTGAAGCTGCCGCACTCCGGTTCCGGCGGAAAATTTTCTCCTCCGGATAATTTCCATAAATTGTTCCACCCCAGAATGCGATTCCCATTGGGTTCCGCCCCCTTTATCTCCATTGGTTCACCGGCTCAGATCGGAATCGCAATGTTTCTCCCCTGGAACAGACCATTTCCATAGGGACCTCTGCTCTGGAAATTGGGTCCGAATTCGATTCATTCTTCTACGTCTCACTCGATCACAATGAATGAGCGCATTTGATGCTCGTTCTTCGTAATCGAGTAGGAACAGGAACGATGTCATAGACACAGCCCCGGCGTGCATGAATATCAAAGTGAGAGGCGTTGCCCGACCTCAGAGCCGACCTCAAGCTCGCTAGCGCTAACTTTCGTTATAATCGAGGCAATATTTTCAGCGCGAGACAAAGGCTCCGACAGACTGACTGAGCTAGGCTTCCGAGAACAAAGACACGATTTTCTTCGAAATCCGCCAGGACTGATGGTTGCCATCGGCTGAGAATATATGCTGCCTGTATTCATACGCCTCGGTATATCGAAGGAAAAATATCCATGTACGCTTTGATGTCGGACCTGTGCTTAAGAAAAGTAGAATCGAGGCATGACTTTCGACAGGAACGCCAACACGGACAATCGGAGCGCGAGAGGACGTGTTGACTCGTTGTATGTGGGGGATGGCGAGCGAAATGCAGACCCTCGCTGCAGATGACAGCGAGCAGAAGAAAAAAGCAATTACTTTCGACGGCGCGGCGGTGCCAGCAACAATGCGCAGCTCGTTCGGTGCTGCTGCGACAAGACTTCCTGACAACGACCGAGACAAGGCCTTTTATGTTCCGCATACGCTGGACTTCCCACCAAAGCCTTTGACCTGACCGAGCTCCGATGGAGGAGGACGCACGGAGGCTGCAGCTTCCGTAGATTGGACGACTATTCTGACCCAGCCCGACCATGAAGTCAAAAGTGAGGGACGGGGGCGGAAGAATCACTCACTCCTGCCCCAACGGGTCAAGAATACCAGGGAAGACGGAGGAGTGTTTGCTCCGCAGCTCACGAAGCTGTCTCGAGTTGGATTTCAGCACATTCGATGCAGCTTGATCACGGCGATGATCGTTTGCTACTCATTATTCCATTTGCAGCGGTTGGACGTGTTTACTCTGGAATCCGAGAGGAGTGCCCTTGTCGCGAGATGCGTGGCGAACTCCCTCGAGAGAAGCTCAGACGGTTACGCCGAGCGGGATTTACTTATGCGCGAAACGTAGACAGAATTCCGTTTGGAGACTCCAATGAAGTCACCGAGCTCCTGAGACACGCTCCAGGAATAATTCACCGTGGTCACACCTCCCACCTTTATACGCCGTAAAAATGAATACAGCGACGGAAGGCGACCTGTAGTAAGACACACTGTCCCATGCGCAGGAATTTCCGTCGTCAGGGATTTCCGTGAGGACCACCGCGGGATTATGCGTGGAGAACATCGATCACGGCCTCCCGCGGAATGGCGGCCTAAACCCCGATCCATCGGAAGATGGGCTCGCAGGATTCGCGTAAGCTGAGCTGCCGCGGTGGGGCTGTGGATGTCGAGCCCAGTCCTTAATAGCACGAAGGGCCCAGTCGCATATCTTCTCAGGGGGCACCATTTTCACTGGTGGCAACCGAAAAAGGAACGGGACATTCCGCAGAAATTCCGCCCAATCGATGATGCCATTATAGATTCTGGCAAGCCAAAATGTGCGAGATCCGAGAAGGATTCCCCTCGTGCAATGGAATTCAGGGATTGAGTTTTTGATGAGCATCATCATTCTCGAGATCTTCATCATACCCACTTGGAGGGCGGCATGACCGCAATCACCGCGCCTCTGCCGATCGCCTGCCTGACAGCGCTGGCCCAGAGTTCAGACATCTGGGAGACCCCTGCAGCTTTCCGAGGACCATACCGTGAACTCTCTGTAAGAAGGTCAATTGGCTCATTGTTCGCGAGGGGACGCCGCTGAGAAACGAGAAAACACCTGGAGCTATTCGACATCATAATGAATTTTCAATAAGCTCCAGCTCCCTAGCTCTCCCTCCAATTCGAAGGACTACAACATCCGGATGGGCCGGAGAAATATGAATCTGGAATCGATCCGGCAATAATGTCAAGCTCCGACGAGGCTTCTTCAGTCTTCCGAACAAAGACGGACCCGAAGTCGATTGCAACTGAGGCACATATAGGCGCGAATGCAGGTCCGTGGACTTCAGCCAAGTTCACCGATCCATTACACACGAGCGCTATCATTCAATGAGTGGACAGTTTTTCTGACTGAGACAAGACGCCTCCAGTCTCTGACTGGAATTCGCGATCGAGACTAATCTGGCCTCTGACCAGGGGCGTATACAGGATTTTTTTTGTGAGGGGCCAGCAAGGTTTTCGGGGGAGCATGGGCCCTTCGCCTCCACCCCCCCCCGCTCCTCCTATATCTGACGAACTGAAGATGGTGAGTCCCTGGGAGGCATTTTGATCCTCTCTCGACCCTAGAGCACCAGCGGAGTCTCTAATGCTCGAAGTCATATATGCCTATGTGCATCAGACGGCAAATCAAAATACCTAATACACAAATACGGAAATTCCGGGCAGAATTGCTTTTTCAAGCCTCCGGGTCGCATTACTTATGTACTTACTCAATAAGTATGTAGCATCCCAATCGGACGTGAGCATGAAGTAGCTACTCGGATGGTATACCCTACAGACGAAGCAGCAAAGGGCTGCCTCAAGGACGATTCCACATCTTTCATCGAAGATTCCCGGTCTGCCCTACTCTCGTCAAACCGACTTGCGCTCCCTTTCAGACCGTGAATCTATTGTTCGAAGCTAAACCAAGTTTCCTCCTCCACATCGAGCTGGGAATACTGGAGCGATGGAAATATCCGTATAGGATTGATCGCTGAAAAAACTTCGACGTCTTCGTTCTGGAGCCTCCTGCGTGATCAGCTCGACTCTCCCGGGAAGTACACCTCCAGGGGCATACACTACCATCTCAATTTCTGCCAAAAAATATAATTGTCCCGCAGATAGAACTTGGAGAGGGAAAATCATGAGAATCTGGATCTCATTGAGATCAAGACGTTGCAACTTCGGAGCGTCACGCCGGAGGGTCAGCTATGGGTTGGGGCCGAATCATCAACCCCCGCTGGAAACATCGACGAGTGCGATTCAAGGAGCTTCTAGGCCTGGCGCTTGATGTATCCGATATCGCGGAGGAGACGATCACGCGGTCATACGTCTCCGAATGCTGATTCCCGAGCAATATTCACGCAGTAGACCCTTCCGCGAATCAAGATGAGCCGAGTGCCATGAAGGGAAGTCTGTCGGAAGCCCGGGGAATAATGATGTGCAATGCGTACTATACATAAGTCAATACGAACTCGCTGGCGGCAGCAAGAACGGCTGTTGGAATGCATGGTCATCGAAGGGCCCCTTCGACTATCTGGTCCACGGGAAACCGATCAAAGATCGTTCTGACACGGCTCGTTGTCTGGAGCTTATATTGTATCGATATTGAGGGATGGAATATTGCTGTTACGATATGTCCGCACCACGAAGAACGGTAGATGTACGCTTAGGGGTCTGGATGCGATGCTTACTCCGATGCCGTAGGCGCCTGATCATTATTCCAGCGCATACGACGAATCAGGGAAATCAGAGTCGATTCGACGTTGGATGTTCGCAGCATTTATTTTTAAGCGATTGAGGTGACGAACAACTGAAGATATGTACACAAGATATTCAAACGACTGGAGCAACAGGAATGGCTCTCAGAACAGGCAAGGCCCAACACAATGAAGCATGCTCAAAATTCCTAGGATCAGACAAAGCATTCGCGTGAAACTTTGTGTTCCTTGCGCGGCTCCCGTAATCGGAATCCAGGGCGCTTTCCGTTGCTCGAAGCGAAGGAAACCCTTTCGGTGTTTTCGAATCGAACAGTATCTCAGCGGATTAGAGCGCCTTGATTGCTCGTCCTCATGATTCGAACTTCGGGTCAAGTGATGCATTGATAGGGCAGGCGACGGAAACGAAGGGATTCCGTTTGAAGACAGGGGAATGTCTTCGTTTCAAAACCGAGGCGTTTAAAATCGATATCTGCAGAACTTTCGCCACTGTATGCGTCGAGAAGACTGCATTTCTGAATCTATGCCAATTCATTCGAATCTCTAGAGTTGCACTTCTTCTACGCAGCGTTGCGCCATATTCAGTATCAGACAGGCAACCGTAACAATTTTGAACTTCACGTGTTTTTCGTCTGACTATGTGTCCTCCTCGATGACTTACAAGGTAATTGAGACCTGGGAACCTACTCTGATCTTTCGTTCTTGCTGGAAGCTTACCAATCAGTAAGAGTTAGAGATTGAGCTGTCAAAGCTTATCTCCTACAGTTTATCGGGGTCTTCATGGCTTTTTTTTAATATTTCAGTTGTTGCCACTGACAGGATGATCCTCGTCAATACTTCAATCAAATTACTGACCGCAGCTCTCCTCATTGGGTATATTCGCATTCGAACTCCTTGGGAATTCGCCCGCACCGAATCGAGGTGATCGTAGATCTCACTCAAGAATTTATCACTACGTATGAGAGGAGAGCGATGCAAATGCATCAGAGCTCCATCAACTCGGAATTCTTCTCTCATGGTTCGAGTCAAATGAGTTCTCACGAGTTATGATATCGGCGACCTTCCGACGTGTTAGATTGGGAATATCATCACTCTTGCATACACCCGATAATTACGCTCCCTTACGCTCCCCTTGTCAATTCTGCCTCCTCAAGTAGCAGTCTCCCGCCGTCCACGAGTTCAATCATACCCCAATCGAGTTTCTTGCGGATCAATCAAATTCCCGAGTGAGAAAACTAAAATCATTCATTTCAAACATTGGGCTACGAGTTGCTGCTCCAGGCTGAATTTCGGTGGAAACGTCCAGCATGGACTCATTTGCGAAGTTTCGGCTTTTTCGTCCCACCGCCGGAAAGAGGGGAACCTCAAAACCTCGAGCGACGAGCCGAGCAGTTCAAACTTAGAACGATAACCATTGCTACGATCTTCCATAAGAAGTGCACCCGTAGCGGGATCGGTTTCTGTTTTCTTCCCTCCTGCCTTCCCAAAAGTAAGCCCCGTGTTTCTTCCTCCGACTCTCTAGGTCGGATCCCGTGTTTCTTCGCCAAAACTGCTAAAACTCTGTACGGAGATCTGGAGTCAGCAATGGCTCACGAGGCAGCTGGGATCATTTGCCTCACTGATCCTAGTTGCCCATGTAGTTAGGCTGACCGCCCTGGCTGTTGAGGTTGGTAGTCTCGGAGGGAGCCGGCATCGCAAACGGGTTGTTTGCGGTCTGTGTTGGATTACTGAACGCGTCACCTCCCGCTCCGGGCTGGGCCGTGACCGGGTCTTCGCCGGTGCCGTCCTCCTAGAATAAAGACCAAGACGAACGTTAACTCATCAAGTATGAGGTAAGACAAAAAGCTTCGAGTCCTCAGACCAAAATATTCTCTTCGCGGAACGAACAGTTCTTCTTCTGGGATGCGAACGAGGCAACCCCGTTGAAGACTTCGTTGCATGAGTCTGTGGGGAGTCGATCAATAATTGCTCAGGAGCTGAGAGATCCCGGATTGAGGTTTCTTCTCAATCTAGTGGAGAACTCCGGCTCGGATGGAGGGGCAGAGCCGACGGAGATCGGTAGTGATCGTTTGACCGGACGTTCCCACACCTCGTATAGCTCGCATAGCTTCGAGACTGCCGGAATCTTACATCAAGATAATAAGCAAAAAATTCTGTTTTCTTTAGAGCAACAAGGTGAAGGATGATGATTTCCCTCCAAAGCCATCCCTTGACCATGAGATTCTCTTGCCTTCATTGTGCGGAAGCCCCGCAGGATTGGCATCCCATCTGCGGAGTCGCGGGCAAATAGAGGGTCCGTCTCTTGAGGTTCACACGTAAACACCCAGTTCTTCATTGTTAACCAATTGAGCGAATCATGCACATGCAAGAAGTTACCAAGTTATTTCGAAACAAGGAAGCCGACACCCAGTCATGCGAGGCTGGATGAAATCAAATCAGATCAAGCTGAAATTCCAGCGCTCAATCTAGCCTTTCTCACCTTATTCTCGGCATCTTGGCCTCCCTGACCATCAACCTAGAAGCGTTAACGAAAACCGTTGTCATGCCCAAATGGTACTAGGTACTTAGAAGCGTTCTCAGCCTCGTCCTCGCCCGCATCGATTCGCTCGCAATCAGTCCTGGCGATGTCGGCCGGTAAACTGGATCTCACATAGAGTGGGGAACATTGTGCGGAAAAACGGCTCATGCGATCAGTGCAGCCCCGGGAAATATGGAGATGCCATACTCACATTCAGATTCGAATAATCGCTGTATTCCGGCGGTGGCTTCGGTTTGCATTTGCCGCAACAGAAGTTGAAACAGCAGCAGAAACAGCAACAGCCACAATAGCAGCCTGTGATGATCCCGCAGCAAATGAATATAGCTTTCGCCCATCCCGATGTCAGGGTCTGAAACGAAAAGAGGAAATCAATGGAGAGTCAGGTCGAGCTAGGATATCGGAACTAGCCTTGAGATGAGGCCAGATATTCCCCGCAGTTACGAAGATAAGACACCGTTTCACGTACGAAGTAAGCGTTCACGTTTTCCTCGCCGAGCTGCTCCGCGATGTAGAGACCCATTGAGCCATAGTTGTCGTAGATGTTCCTTTTGGACAAGTCGCTGAGAATCGCATTAGCTCGATTTATGTCCTTGAACTTCTCAGCGGCCTCGAGATCGCCGGGGTTCTTATCCGGGTGGAAACGGAGTGCGAGCTACAAAAAGGAAACTCCTGAATGATGAGGAACATCTCACTGCATGTGAGTAGAAAACGCATGCGGCCGACCGACGGATACCCGACTCGATTTTCTGGTCGTGAGGAACAGTTCAATGGTGTAACTTACCCTCCGATAAGTCCTTTTGATATCTTCGGCAGTCGCAGTTTTTGGTAAGCCCAATGTCTCGTAGAGGGAGTCCCCGGTAGCTCTGGAATGCAAGCTGTGATTGAGAACCCCGTTCGAAGGATCGCGGGTGATGAAAATAGTGACGGCGAGCCGAAGAGGCTCTAATCGTCAAAAACTATAATTCTAGTTCTGCAAATAAATCGCCAGAAACACTACTCGCAACATCTGAGTCATTCTCAGCACCCACAGGACTATCTGTCAAAGCTCGACCAGCGAGCACGCTCTCAATATGTCACGAGCCGCAAGAGCTCAACTTTGCAGGCCGCGTTCCATCGAGAAATTCCCCTGATATTCGAAGCATGTGTCGAGGAAAGCCGAATCCTGTTACGGAACGCCAGCCCCCCGTGTAGCGGAGATCCTAGCATTACGAATGCCCTAGGAATGCTCCGCTGAAAAGCCGTGATCGAAATGCATCGCGTTTCACGTTTCATGCGACGAGAGACCCAAACTGCGGACACTCGAATTCCGCTCCTTGACGGAGGGGGCTCTAGGCTGCGGCAACCCATATTGTCCCTTGAGCTTGACTACAATTTCGCTTCCGAGAGCCCCCAAGCACAGAGCAGCCGTCGATGAATCACTTGTCGACCGAAAATCATCGATACAGGATTTTGACAACTGTACCGCCATCTCCTATCGCGGCCGGCATCAGGAGCATCCAGGTACAGCTCTACTCACGATAGTTTCCTCCCGCCTATGTCCATTCTGGAGGTCGACGTGTGTCGGATCTAGCTCTGATTTGGCGTTAAAGCTGTGGCTCTACGACGATTTCAAGCAGAAACCGCTTCCTGGCTTGAAAGAGAGCAATTTCGTTCCACGGATGAAGCACTGGAGAAATTTGTGTTCGCTAGGATCCCTCACTGCATAAACATTCTTCCTCTCCTATTCTCTCGCAACCAACCAGCAGCAGCAGTAGCAGCATTGACAACCGCAATGGCGCACAATGAGGACGATGATCCGCGCTCACGTCTGCAGCGGGCAGTCTTCGGTCTTCTTTGAGCATTTCAGGCGCCCCTCGCGTTGGGGAAATTCCGAAACTCAATCTTATTCCAGGACATGAGTCCGAAGAACAAGATAAGCTACACGACCCGAATTCGGAACTGTGGGAGAGTTCTGAATATCTCGTTTGCTCGGGGTTCTCTGGTCGGAAAGTCAGAAGTCTCGAGATTCTCGTCGATGACCAGATTGGCGATATGCGTCCACCGGCTTCTCATTCGAACACCCACAACAACGTTCTGGGCATGAGATTCGTTGCCTGACGACTAACACAAAATTCTCAAGGTAGATTTCGAATTCTCTTCTCTCCGAGAATTCTAGGGAGCGTCAAGCTCTCTCGAAAAAGGCGCCATGAGCGGCCGCAGAGTGAGACGCAGCCGCCATTTTGAAACAGAATGATGGAAATGATCCTTTTTCGTGTCGCCCGTAAGCAAGGTACGGCATGTTCGAGCGATTTTGACAAATTCGTGATATATACTCAAATTCCTGTGCTCAATCGTTCCTAGTAGACCGCGGCAACGATCTCTCGGTGCCAGGATGACTCCGAATCCAAGGGGTCTGCCCCGGGGTGATTGTTTCAGTGAAAACTCTCTCCTCGGCTGCTTAGCTTTGCCGAATAACCACGTTGCCGCTCGAGGGGGACGGGGATTCTCCGGGCTCAGATATCCGACTTGGAAAGGATGCGCTCACCCTGATCGATCCTTTTCTTTTCTGGTTCCAGATGCCGTCGCTTACCGTGAAAGACGTTGATCAGCACGAATTCGTGGTCGGCATGGCCGCCTTCCTGAAGAAATCTGGCAAACTTAACGTGCCGGATTGGACTGATATAGCGAAAACCGGCATCTACAAGGAGCTCTGCCCCAACAACGCTGACTGGTTCTACGTGCGTTGCGCCGCGCTTTTGCGCCAACTCTACTACAGAGGCCAGATCGGTAGGTCGAGAGGGAGAGATGCACCGAGATCATACATTTGTGGAACTAGATTCCTCCCCGTGGACAGTGATGGTTCTCTTATAGAATTCCTTATCTTCCAGGCGTAGGCCGACTTACTCAAGTCTACGGGGGTCGTTACCGCCGCGGAGTTCGTCCGTCGCACTTCTGTAAGGGATCTTCATCCGTCATCAGAAAATCCCTCAGATCCCTCGAGCAAATGAAGCTCGTGGAGAAGGAAACCGAGAAGGGAGGACGCAAACTCTCCAAGCAAGGCCGAAGGGACTGTGACCGTATCGCAGCTCAAGTTCAGAAGAAGTCGACCATGTTGGCGGGGAAGTGAAAAGTTCCAGAGTTCTTGGAATAAAGAGGTCTTGGAAAAGGAATTCTGTCTCGTCCCCTTTTTGAAAGTTTCGTATGCAAGGCTCAATTCACCCGCGCTCTTCAATTGCCTTCTATCTTGCTTCTTCCCGTCCGATGCTCGATGTCCATTGGGTGGAGACCCGATGTCGATAATTATTCTTGTACGATACCCGATTCATGCGTTTGGCAATCGTCTAATGTAAATCTTCCGATGGACCGATGAGGGGCCGGACGAAGCGACTGACTCAATTCAAATCTTAGGAATCACGTAGAATGAAATGCTATCAGTGGTGTCAGACCGAAACCCACGAGGCCGTATGAAATCTCACAGGACGTATGGAATCGTACGGACACTCTGGTCGACCCTGCGCTCATTCATTCCTGTCTGACGACGCGATCGTCTCCATCGAGACAGCCAGGGAGATCGAGAAGGGGAGGTCGTGATCTCTGGGGGAAAGAGGAATAGGTCGGAATAGAGGAAGCAATCGGATTCGAGGAGACCAACGATGTTTAATATCAATACAGGGAACGCTCAAGGTAGACGTCTCCACGTCCGATGATTTGTACAACGTATCTACACCCCTCTGCCATTAGACACTTGATTCGGTCGATCCTCAATGACTCTCACTCAGAGGTAGATGCGTCGAAGGTCTCCGGGGCTCGTGATCGTGCTACACTGCGGGCATAGTTTCTTGCAGCTCTGGAAATCCAAGTGAATATCCCATGTATGATGAGATCTACTGAAACTGGCGTGGATGAAGGGACGCAAGGAGCCAAAAGGTCACGCTCACCAGAGTCTTGAGCCAACAGTCCTGGCAGTATACGTGCCAACACGCCACGCTCACCAACGGGTTGAGGTACAACTCCATGCAAACAAGGCAGCGCGCCGACATCAGGCTCGAACAGGGCTTCGAGTCTTCCAGATCACGAATCCGAGTCTTCAACGCTTCGATCACGATAGACGAACCGCTCCGCGGACTGTAATGTATCGAAGGCACGATTGAAGGTTGATGAGGAGCTCCTCAAAAGAGAGATTCTGGAGGTTCAGCTCACCCTGAACTTTCTGATGAAGGTTGATCATCGTCTTGGAGGCGTTGAGTCAAGCTCAAGTCCTCCAATGTGTCCCATTTTGAAGGAACTTCAGGGGGTGCTCCGCTATTGGCACCGGCCGTCCGAACCATTGCCTCTCGGATCCGTTGACTCGAGTTGTCCTGAGAAACTACCGGAGGAAGGGTTAGCCTTGGAGCCCCAGGGGAAATCAGGATCCACGATTGAGCGGCTGAGTACTCACTCGATATGAGATCGGCTTCCGAGAATTGGGATTCCCCGTAAACTGCCTCGTCAACTCCGTCGACATCCAAGTCGCCACTGTCATCTTCTTGTCCATTCCGGTTGGATCTAGCGACGAAGAGATAGAACGCCACTCTCAGACACGAATCGAGAGGCACAAGCTCAATTAGTTGAAATCCCCCCGGGAGAGAAAATCCAGCTATAGCGCTTCGCTCGTCAATCGAGGAACTACTTCGAGGGACAAGTACTGTTGACATTGCGAATTTCGAGACTAAGGATCGCGCAACCTCCACGGGGACTTACCTGGGCACGATATCCGAGAGTACAACTGAGCGGATCCGAGTCTGGCCCGCCCACTCATATTCTTCAAGCTCACTCGCGCTGGAACCGCCACCCTCAATATCGACTTCGTGGCTCGTGGCGTTCTGCTGCAAATACAGCGGGGGTTAGGATGATACATCGCCCTCAGATCCGTGGACAGCAGGCCAAGAACTTGAAATGACTTAAAAATTCGGAAAATACGCACCGAATTGAGACAATCTTCAACGTGGCCGATGCGCTCCTCTTCGGAGAGATGATTGATCGCTTGGCCGCAAACTGGACAGTCCACCTGTCCCGGAAGCCTACGCCTTCTGTGAGGAGGTGCCGTCCTCAAAGTGAGTCGTTTGCTCCGATTCTGGCGGACACTCTTCACGATCTTGCGACGCTCCTCGCGTACCGTCTCCACACAATGTCGCTGGGAATGCAAAAGAGCGAGTGTCGAATGCGTGGGCTCCAACGAATACTCAGAGTATCAACTGAAGGAGATGCATCCATTTTCCGTCATACAAGGAGAGAAAGCAATATACCGGGTTCTCCGTCGTACCACGGAGCATCCCGTCGGCATACTCACGTCGGCATGACTCCGAGCGCGCTTTCCATTCCGGTGCGTCGTGACATCCTTGAGCCTAGCGACTTCGACCTCAAAGTGCGCTCCCGCTTCGGAAACCTTTATGGTCACTCCGCACACCGGACAGCAAGTCGAACAGCTGATCTGACTGTGGCTGCGTCGATTGGCTTGAAAAAAAATAGAATGAGCTACAATCGATGAGCTCAAACTCAGGAACGACGAGTCAGTCTAGCCGATTTGATTGATGCTTGACGCAAACATTATCGGTGCTTGAGACTCACCTTTTTTGGGAGCGACGACGCCAGAAGGTCCGGGCTTGTCGAGGCTGCTCTTATCGGGCGGCTGAAAGAATTCAACGGAGAAAATAATGGTCACTTATCCCTCAATTTGGCAATCTCTGATCTCAACTTACTGCAAGACACTTCAGCGAAATGCATCGAAACTTTACGGCGCCATCCGAAATCTTCCTGGTTTGAGAGCGATTACGGCGCACGGAACTCACATCTGAAGTAGGGGTTGCAGTGTCCATGGCAGTCGAGATGCTGATGGGTGCTCTATCCAAACTTTAACCATACCCCATCATCGGAGGTCGAATTCAACGCCTACTGCATCAGAGAGTCATTTTGCTGTGCGACACCGTCGATTATCGTGGATTTCGGCGAGTTCCCACACTTCGGAGGAGCTGAGCGTTTGCTAGACACACTGGATGAGAACTCTCTCTCCGTCGATCATTCACTTCTTCCCTTGCCATCCGAGTATGGCTCGCTTGGCGGCGCGTTCATCCGTTCCCGAAATGATGAGCGCGAGTGCGGACGAATCGGAGTCAGGAAGGCTGGGGCTCTGGACAATCGAGATTATTTATCTGGAGGTCCGGAATTAGGTTAATCCTCGAAGGAAGTCCATGTACTTGGTCTCTTCCGAGAGCTCTATCCAGCGCTGCTGTACTCTCCCCCACGAAATTCGTCCGCTGGCTCAGATAAACAAACAATGTGATGAGCTACTGAGCTACCCAAGTTTTCGGGATGCTCGAAGGTCTTGGAAGAAAAGTTTCTACCCCCCTCGCCATCGCTAAGAAAAGTTCGAGAGCTGGGGTCGTTGAAATAATGAGTCAGAACAGCACTACGTGATGATCGAGCGTGGGTATGGAGCGGAAACAGTGTGTGGAGTTCCTCCATTTCAGCTGAGACAAGGCTCCGCTCGCCGGCGGGAAGTTCCTTCTTGAATTGATACGCGCTGATCGGAGGAATGAATATTTCCGATGGCTGTCTCTGTAGCCTCCAAGTAAGCCGAACTTTCATCCACGTGGTACCGGGGATGATCCACGCGCGCTACGGGCTTCGCTGTCCATGGATGCGGAGGGCGACATGATATTTTGTTGGTCAGTACCCGGAATGTGGTCAGTCCTTCTCTGATCGTAGCCTTATATGCGTTCCGAAAGAGCATCTGAATCCGAGAAACTCCGAGAATAAACTCCGAATCTGTCGCCGCTTTTCTGTAGACTCGAGCGCTTCTCGGAATGCCCCGCGTGAACAGTACCGTCTAATCCTCTGGCTCCCAATCGATCGGCTGGGAGAGCTCGCTGGGTTGATCCCTATCTACCATGTCATGGACGACTCAAATACACATATACGTGCATAACTCATGTTATGACATCCCGCTCACCGAGAACCAGACGGGGCTGGAATTCGGCCTCCCCCCCCAAATCGCATCGCGATTGGATTCCTCGCGCTGTATGACCCGACCCAACGATTTGCGCGGATGAATCTGAAGCCGCGGTCGAGCTTCGCGATTGAGATCAAATAAGATCCCATGCATTCGACGACCCTGGCTTTCTCGATGATCTTTGCGCAACCGGATGGCGCAACCGCTCTTGAATCCCGATCCCAGGCATTCACGCATCAGCCTACAGACCATAAATCATCCCGCGGGACCCAAGAACCGATATCGTGGCCCCCAATAATCGAGTTCTGCTCCGAAACATACATGATGTTTCTATGCTCATGAATCCGTGAATGTCCTGATGCTGCTGAAGCTGAATGATAACGTAGGCCTCAATCTTCTGCGTGCTCGGGTGGTTTCGGGCGGGTCGGGGGCGCTGTCGCCATCGTCGGGACGCTTCCGATCTTCCTCGCGGTTTTCCTCGACTCTCGACAGCATCTCTGGAACTTCGACGTCTCTAAGAGCGGATGCCGCTAGGGCGCGGTGCTGTGCAGTCGGATCCTGACACGTGCCGGGAAGCGTGTAGAGTCTCCCCAGCAACGAGTACTGCTCGGGATAACTGCACTAGGCGAAATTCGAGTGTGGACGCACTGATATTGAGAGATAATGAGTGATGATGAGTCGAGTACCCTATGTGGCGAAGTGGGTGGAGCTCTGAACCACGACCCCATGCTAATCCTTGACCGAGACCACCTATGAGCCACAGGGTGCAGCTTCGACGCATCCGAGGTCGGAAAACGACGAGGACAACGCGAGCGAATCCGTCCTTGCAGCGGAATCCGGTCCGATGCTGGCGAAGCCGACTTCGAGCGCTTTGTTCTCGTGAGCAATTCCTTATCAGTGATCACAGAAAAGACTTTGAACATCCTAGCTCAATTTGACCGAGACCACTCTGAGACGAGGATCTGCCTCCGCTTTCGGATGCTCCGAGTCTTGCGAGAGTCTAGAAAGCACCTTGCATCGTAGGACTGCGGTAATATACGAAAGTTAGGGGTGGCTTCTGCATCCCTTACGGACGGAGTCCGAGGGATTGAGTTCATCAATCGAGGAGATGCGGGGGATTGTTTAACAAGCCTCATCGAAAGCGGTGGGCTTGGTGCAGCACTCCGCACGGACGGAAGGGACACGGACCGGGGGCAAGCTTCATTGAAAGAATTCTCGATCAGAGTAGGGAGAACGTGGTATGCTCCCTCCGGTGTCGATCATTCCTCGGTGATACAGCAACTATTGGTCGAATATATGTTGTCTAAGTAGCGACGAAAAATAAAGGTCTTATCGAGTATGTGACACAATCGAACCTTGTGATATTATCAAATCGATGATATAATCAAATCAGGGTATCATCGATATTGCGTAGTCCCCGGAGACTTCGATGAGAACTTGCTCATATGTCAGTCCCGCTCCGATTCATATCGTTCCGGATCCATAACAGGATTGAGGATCCTCGATCTCACTCAAGGCTTGACGTAATTATCATCCTCATGCAGGGCCCGGCCTGAGGTCGATGAGGATCCCGCGCTTTCTGCTGCTCGGTTTTGTCGCTTTGGGATCTTCTTCAGGCTATCCCTGCGATTGGCATAGTGGCCTGTGCGAGGCGCGCGGACCACCTCGCCCCTCTGAACATCGGAGGAATGCGTTCTGGGGAAAGGGTAAATGATTCGAGATAGAATATTGGCTCCTTCGCGGCTTGCAGTCGGAGCCGCGGTCCTCGGAGGCTGCGACTTCGAAACGACGAAATATACCGTCGCTCCGGCTGCAAAAATATACGTATATGATAGCTCAAATCCTTTATTAAAGGCGACTAGATAGAGAAAGATATAGGAGTTTGTGAGACGACGGGAGAGAGTTTCCAGTGTCATCTCTATATTTTGGGTCGGGTCTGCGTGGATCTCGCCTCCAACAGTTACTTGAGCTCGACTGCCGGAAGATGTCGTTTACTCGTGTTGCTTCTTTGCGCTTTCTATTGCCTCGAGGGGTTCAGGTCAGTTCTCCATCCACGGCGAGACTTTTGTCCACGACAAGCTATGAAACCCTCCTCGTGGAAACTGTCGGCGAAAAGAAGAACGTTGGTTTGATTCGCCTCAATCGGCCAAAAGCTCTAAACGCTCTGAACTCGACGTTGATGGGCGAATTCGGTGATTGTATCGATGATATGAATGAAGATACAGCGATCGGATGCATAGTCATCACGGGCAGC